TCCCTAGGGTTCCCCAGCCCACCCCTGGTCCTCCACATTCCCTGCGCCTCAGCACCTAGAGGAAAACTTTCCATAGATTCCCAACCCCTAATCACTCACCCTGTCCCAACCATGCTCTGCCTCAGCTTATTTTCCACTTTAGATCTCTACTGCCTTCTGTCCGCACCTGGGCCAGAGGAGGTCAGCCAGAAGGAATTCTGCTCACCTGCTTTCTCTTCCAAATATATGATGGTATAGGAGACGGGTAGGGGAACATAGTATGTGCGTGAAGTAAGCATCCCTCTTACTGAGAAAGAGGGGGTGGTGCGGAAAGTAAGGAGTAAAAAGGATGTATGAGGTTAGACTTGGAAGGTAAACAGGAGAGGACTTGACTTCATAGGAATGAAGGGAAATGGTGAAAAAGCTTTCTGGAGTCAGAGGAAGTAGCCTCTTCAGGACGAGGATAAGTCTGGTAGACACGGGATCCAAGCAGCAGAACCAAGTAGTACACATTGGCTGAGTCGTTCCAGAAGCGGAGAACTGGGACTTCCAAGTCCAAAGGACTGGGAGGAGTCTTGGGAGTAGGAAGAGGATGATGATTCTGGTACTGTCTGCTCTGCAGCAACTCAGAGCTTGAGTCACTTCTGCTCTGCCTGCCCCTGCCCCCACCCATTGCCCCTTGTCCCTCCCAGAACCCAGGGTTCCAAACCGGGCCTTGCTTCAGTCTTTTATTCTACTTGTACGTCAAATCTTTTGTCCATGATAGTCAGGTTGGGGGCCCCTCCTGGGCAGCCCCCCGAACATTTTACAAAACAGTTCCCTGCCCTACCCTGGCATGTCTAGCAGTCCCTAACCCCTGCAACCCTCCCCATGCACAGTGTTCATTGCACCTCTCCATCTCTCCTTAGTCCCTGCTCCAAACCCAGACTCCCTCCAGAGGTGCAGGCAGGAAAGGGGGGTTAGCTCTCAGGGGTTGGTGTGCCTGGGCCAGCCCCTCCAGCAGCCCTCTGCAGCATGTCCAGGGCCTCCCAGAAGAAATCCTTCTGTGCAGCCATCAAGGGCATCCAGCCCACGATCTCCTTCATCTTCTCCATGCGGTCCTGCAACGTGGAGCAACTGTGGATCTGGCTGAGGTACTCCTCACAGGCCCGGGCCGCCCCCCCAGGGTCCTGGGGTGCTCCAGTCCCCAGGCTGGGCTCGGAGGTCCCCATCACCCTGCTGGCTGGCAAGTCCCGATAGGCAGGGTGGTGCTCAATGTCATGGCTGGACAGCATGTAGAGGCACTCTCTGGTGGAGCAGAGGGAGCAGGCGCACAGAGGGACCTGGGAGGAGAGAAGGGGCATGGCTATGTGGGGCTTTCACTGTAGGGATTCCCAGGAAGCCCACCTGTGCTCCTCCCTCTCAGGCAGCCCTGAGTCAGCAGGGTAGCTACAGCTGGTTAAGAGCCAAGCTTATGCAAGGTTGAACAAGGCCAGCAGAGGCTCTGGGGAGAAGCCCTGGAAAGGGAGGTGGGGTGTGCTAGGGAAGTGGGATCCACACAGTTCCGTTCTGCAGGGAGTCCCAGCTACAGCCCTGTGAGCTGCCTGGCTCTATTGATCTTGCCCTCCCTAACTGCCCTCTGCTCACTTGACCCTTCTCTGACCTTGACATGGAGCTTGACAAAGGAGGCACTTCCCTTAGGCCAGCCAGGTAGACGACCGCCAGCCCCACAGCCACAGCCCAGCAGCTCCTTGCTGAAGTCCGAGCTCTGGCTCAGCACCAGGGAGTGGTTGAGGCCACACCACAGGGAAATGGGGCGTTGTGGATAATGTACCTGAGGACACATGGCCAGGGTCCCTGAGGGAGTAACCCTAAGAGACTAGGGTGGGGGGCCTGGCCAGAAAAGGCTGACTAGAAGGCTCAGGGCAGAAAGTAAACTAGCAAGGGAAGAAATGGAAGCCATCACCCACGCCCCCTCCCCTAGGACATCTGCCCTACACAATACAGATGAGCAGCAACCTGATCTTTCTTGGTACCCCACAGGCCCCAACAGTCTGACCACTTGAGTCTAGCACTTCAGTTGGCACTTCATCTTTGCTCCCCAGAAAATAAGCTCCTTGCCTCATGCCAGAGTTCATTCTCTCTCTCTTTTTTATAAGGAATTATTTATTTTATATTTTATTTATTTTTATTTATTATTATGTTTTAAATTTGCTATAGTCACCAGAGAGAGAAACAGAGAGAGGGAAAATGAGAAAGCAAGCTGCCAGGTCCAGGACTTGAATCATGGTCAGCCATGTGGGAGTCTAGTACCCCAACTATTAGGCCACCTGCTGGCCCCTGCAGGACCCCTTCTCTACTACTCATTCTCAGCTCATTGATCTGGTCCAGTCCAGCCTCATCCTGCCTTCCTCTTCCCAAGGATAAATGCCTCTTCCCTTCCTTGTGCAATTGCAGGTTAGTCTCCACACCCACCCCAGGAAGAACTTTCCTTCCACTCCCCCACTTCCCTCTCTAGCATTTTCTTCCAAATGGCCATCATTATCTTCCGAAATGGCCACCCTATTTCCACCTGCTTCTTGCTGCCTACCTCTGTCTTTCAAGAAGCACTGGTACATGGCCAGTCTGAGGTTGACTAAACTCTCATTTGCTACTAACAGCCAGTCTCTTCTGAGCCTCCTTGTGATCTGGCTTCTCTATTATGCTACTGACATGCTCTCCCTAAAGGCACTTGAACTCTGAGTTGCTAAATCCCAGGACTTCTCCTCCGCGTTCAATCCCAAGATTGTTAACACTTAAATTTTAAAGATACAGGTAAGGAATTTATGGTCACTCTAGCAAAATATCAAAATATTGGCAAACAAAAATAAGTGTGAATCGCTAGAGATCTCACCACCTATGATTAACATCTTACTAGATATTTTTCATTGTTGTCTAAAATACATAAATTGTGTATTTTTAAACAAAAATGAAGTCATACTATGTGAACCATTTCATACATATTTTTTAACCTGAAAATATGGTTTGAACATCTTTCCATGTCAGTAAACATGTTCCTATATTTCACACTGACACAATTAACCACCTTCCCACTCAGCAATTCGAAACTTTTCTGCTCTTGTAGCTTTTAGCATATGGCATTTGAAAGACGTGCCTCCTGTGCATCTCCTTGCCTACAATGGTGACAGCTGCCCAGAACTGCTTCTCTATCTCTACTTTGGTTGTTTTAACCTTGTTCCAACCTGGACTCTAGTTGCCAGCTAGACATTTCCAATTTAGTGTTTTACTTTCACTTCAAAAAGTCCAAATTCATACTTACTTCTCCTCCAGACATTATCTCTTTCCAACTTCCATGTTTGTTGGTGATACCCATCTTTCTTCCAAAGGCACCTTTGTCTTACAAATCTTTTTTTTTTTTAAGAACACTTTTATTTTAATTCGACCAGAGAGGGATAGAGTGAGTAAGAGAGAGAGAGAGAGAGGAAGTAAAAAAGCAGGCTGCCAGATCCAGGATTTGAACCATGGTCAGCCACGTGGGAGTCCAGTGCCCTGAACCACCACACCACCTGCCAGCCTCAAATCTCTTCATCCTGACGGCTTGTTCATTTTCTCCAAAACATCTCCTATATCCATTCCTTTCTATTCTTACAGCCACTTTCCAGGTCCAGACCCTTGTCTTAAGTGCTGCCATCACTCAACAGTCTCCTTGCATGCTTCCCACTCTTGGCCTTCTGGGCACAATAGCCAGCTGACTGTTCTCATTCACCTTGGAGGTTGCCTTCTTCTGCTCCAGAATTTGCAATGACTCTTCCCTAAATCTGTGTCTACCTATACTGCCTCATATCTCACTGATTCCCAATATATACCCTGCTTTAGTCAGCCCAGTCTCTTTTTTTAAAAAAATATTTATTAATTTTATTATTATTATTATTTAATTTGACGAAAGAGAGAGAGGGGAGTAAGAAAGCAAGCCTCTAGGTCTGAGACTCGAACTGTGTGCTTGACCATGTGTGAGTCCAGTGCCTTAACCACTATGCCACTTGCTGTCTCCTAGGCTGGTTTATATCATCCCTTTCTCACCAGCATGTGCAAGCTTTGCCCCATTCTCTTCATGTGGAATGCCATTCCCCATCGCCATCTCAAATCTATCTAATCTATGAGGCCCTGCTCCTGTTTCATCTTTCTGGTTACTTTAGCCCATCCAGGTCCCCCACCTCGGCCCTTCACTCAATTCCTCTTGCACTTAATACCATGTATTGCACAGGAAGGACCTCATAGTGTCAACTGTGGCTGAGACAGGAGTATCACAGGCATTAATATACAGGCTGGCTAGCTTTCTGGGGAATAGAAGGTAGATTCTATGGAAACTTAAGTGAGAGAAAGAGAATCTGGATGACAGCTGTTAGGAAACAGTCTCACCTGTGTAGGTTCCCCTCGGTCCATTTTGTCCCCTGTTCCCAACTGCCCATATCTGTTATTTCCCTGCATAAAGATTCGGCCAAATTCATCCACAAGGCCGAGGTGATTATAACCAAGAGCACAGAATAGGACCTAGGAGGTAAGACAGACAGATAAGGTAGGCATTCTGTTCCCTCCAGCAAAACTCAGAGCTCTAGAATCTAGCCAAATGCTGGCCTGCCATTCCAGCTGGATGGGATGGCCTTGCCCTGTATGCTAACCCTTTCCCTGAGTCTCCTATCCCTCCCTATTCAACCAATCATTTGATTCCTGTTTGTTTGTTTGTTTGCTTGCTTGCTTTTTAAGGTTTTTGCCATAGGGCATGTGCACTTGCTGGAGAGAGAGAAAGTGAGAAATCACCCCCCAGAGGGTATAGCCATGACTCAATCCCTTCTCCATTTTTCTCTTGGGATTTTGGGCATGTACACAAACATGCCAGGCATGATTTTCAAGCCACCAGGTCCAGAACTTGAACCACAGTTGGCCATGTGGTAATCTAGTACCTTAACCACCACACCACCTGCTGACCCCTTCCTGCTCATTTTTAGTCCCTCATTACCTTCCAATTCCTAAAGCCCACCCCTCTGGTCTGCCCCATCCCTCCAGGATCCTACCTTGGCAGGCAGTGAGAGAGCAAGTGGCATCTGCGGGTCCAGGGGGTCAAAGGCTTGAAGGGTTCCAAAGAGATCACGATACACCCCTGGGGTATGCACCTCAAAATACACTCCTCCCTGGTCTGGGGGGTCGGGAGCCCTCAGCTCAGCAGCCTTGGGCACCCATTTCCTAGGTATAAAGCCCCACCCGGGACTCCAGGGAGTCTCACACCCACTCAAAATGCATCAATTATGATGCCAAGGAACCTAAATACATCTTTTTACTAGGATGCCCTAAGGGGTCCACCACAGAGCTGGAATAAGAGTAGGGAGTATCAGTATTTGGAAGGTCTGTCCAAGGCTGGGGTCTTGAGAAGACTAGAACTTGTTCTTACCTGTGATGTAGAGGGTACTGCTCTGGTTGGAAGCCATGCAGGCCACGCGCAGGTGAGGCAGGCATCGGGACACCTTCCTCAGGGCCAGCTGAACTGTGTACGAGCGTGGCTGGTCCAGCTGGGTTTCATTCACTACCAAAGAGTAGATCTTTCCTTCCTCTGGGAGATGGAGGGGAGGGTAGGCAGAAAATTATGTGAGGGAGAGGTCTCTACAGTATCTATACAAGGAGACTTCAAAAGGCTCATGAAAAAATGAAATTAAAGTGCAAGTTTATTTGCGTGCAAAACCCATGCATAGTGTTTTTTTTATAATATGCATTTCCACGAACTTTTCAAAGACTCCCCCCATATTAACATCCTAGTAGACTCCCTAAGCCACACAAAATGAAATATTTATTTCCCTAGGATGGAGCTGGAAGAAAAAGGGTGGAGATGAAATAAGGTAAGAGTGATCTCAAGTCTTCCAGATTCCAATCCCAAAAATAAACCAGAAGTGCTTCAACATGAGGGGTGAGTGGAGGAAAAAACCTCCACTCAGAGAGTATTCTTTCTTAATTTTATTTAATTTCATTTATTATTATTATTATTATTTAATTTGATCAGAGAGAGACAGAAAGTGAGAAAGCAAGCTGCCAAGTCCAGGACTCGAACCATGGTCAGCCATGTGGGAATCCAGCACCTTTAATCACCATGCCGCTTACCAGGTCCAAACCTAGCAGTTAGGTTTAGCAGATCTAATTTGAGTGTTGAGAAGAATGAAATCTGGGGATTTGGGGCCCTGTCTGGCATTCAGAATCACAAGAATGTCAGGCTTAGGGGCATGGCTAAGTATAGCACACACTGAGAAAGTATGGGGTTATTTGGGCTATAAAGTGAGGTGCTTGGTGGGACTAGCAGTTGGAGTAATGGCTATATCGCTGGACTCCCATGTAGTTGACTGCAGTTTGAGTCCTGGACCCCGTGGCTTAAACTCACGCTGGGTGCACAGGGTGCATGTACATGCATGCCCAGAATTCTGAGAGGAGAATGGAAGAGAAGGGATCGTGGCATGGCCATCCCCCCTGGGTTATCCCCCCACTTTCTGTCTCTCTGTCTTTCTGGCAAGTGCACATGTACTATAGCAAAAACTTCTCAAAAAAAAAAAAAAAAAAAAGAAAAAAAAGAAAAGAAAAAGTGAGGTGTTTGGCATAGAGCTTGGGAGACCAGAATTTTAAAAATCAGGCATTCACTTCACTAGAGCAGTAGTTTCCAAACTATTTTCTTGGCAGCAGGGCCCTTTATTTATATGAATATTACAGACTCCTCCATTAGGGACAGATAAAGGCAGAGCTGTTTGGATTGAGACCAGGAAGAGGTAGCATGCAGAACCCTGTCTGAGTGACCTCCCTCTCCCTTCCCTGTAACAGGTCCTAAAGAATCTGCAGGAAACAATTTCCAAACCACTGCTTTAGGCCACACCTGTGAGGAGCAGTAGAGCCCGCTGGGTCTCCTGACCAACCAGCACAATCTGTTTGAAGCTCATGGAGTGGTGAAATGTCATCTTGAAGACCCGTTGCCCACTGGACTGCAGATAGACCTCAACACAGTCACAAGCGCGGTTGCTGGTTGTGCCTACCACTCCTGATTGCTCTCGAGTGGCCAAGACATAAAGGTATTTACGGTAAACTGTGTCGCATCTTGGGTCTGAGGCAAACTGTGGGAAAAGACGAGAGTGTTTCTGATCCAGAACCTCAAAATGGGATGACTCTGGGACCTAACTGGATCTTAGGGTAGGAGATGAGATACTTGCGTCCAGGGTTCAGAATGAGAACTTGTTTTCAGATACATGACATGAAAAGGTCACTGTCCTGAGGAAGGCACCCCAGACTGGTGGGGACCCTACAGTCCTGGGACTCTGATAAGGGGGTTCTCAGCTGCCAGGGTTCTGCTACTCACATCCTTGGCTCCTCGACACAACACAACATAGCGGCAGGCTCGCTTCCACTGGATCTGGCCAAGGGTGGAGGAAACCAGAGCATTTTTGAGAAAGAAGAGAGTCCCCACATAGTCGAGAATGAATACGTGGTCCTTGGTGGGTAGGAAACGACGGTAACCATGGGCTAGCAGGGGTGCTACGCTCTTGCTGAGACATCGGCGGCGGCCTCCAAATGCCTGGAAATACAGGCCCTTCGTGTCTGGAGAAGGGAAGAAGATACAAGGTTCAAGAGGTAGAGACATGAGGAAAAGATGAATTAGAGCTTGGGTGAACTAGATTTCTCAGACTCCCTGGGATTTAGCTCCTCCCCACCCCCAGACATGGGGAACACATCCTGCCCAAAGGAGATATGGGAAGCTTAGATTATATTCCATGTCTGTATTTTAGTTCTCAGCCCCACCTCAGCCCAGGGCCATAAACTTGCTTCTTAGTGAGCACTTTAGTCCAACCTTACACCAGAGACATAAAGGGAAATAAAAGAATAAATATATAGAAAAGAGGCAGAAAGAGGAGCAAAAAGGAATGACCGAGAAAGGCCAGTGATCCTCCTTAACCCCCAGATCTGGACTTCTCTCTGGATCAGCATTTTTCCATAACCACCAACTAGGTGAAAGAAAGTAACTGGATAGAGGCTTCCTGGAGAGGATGAGGTTTAGAGCAGTTCTCACACTGGAGGTGATTTTCTCCCTCTCAGAACAATGGTTGTCACAGCTAGTAGGGGTATTGCTGGCATCTAGTGGACAGAGGCCTGAGATGCTGCTCAGCATCCTCCAATGCATAGCACAGCCCTCCACAAAGCAATTATTTTGCCCAACGTGTCAATAGTGACAGAGTTGAGAATCCTTGGCTTAGAGGAAAGAAAACTCTAGTTTTGGTGAGTGGGTGGTGCCTCAAGGATAAGATTTGGAAGCATGTATATGGAGGAAGACTCTAGAAATGCTGCTAATGAAGGCTATGGTGGGATATCTACGGCAGGTGGTTCTACAGATGTGGAAGAAATACTCAGTGGAGTATGTTTGAATTTGAAAAGCTGCTTTAAGAGAAAAAAGCCCTGAAAGTTGGCTGGGAGTGCAGAGGTCATCATGCAACTTTACAGAATACAGTAGGATAGAGGCAAGGAGAACTAGGTGTTCTGGGGAAGGTGTGTACAGTTAAGAATGGCAGCTCTCTTCCAGGGCCGGATCCCAGAACCCTGCTCTCGGAGGCGTGGACTGAGCCTGCGACAGATGCGTCTCCAAGCGCCTTCTGCATCACACACTTCCTGGAAGTAGCGGCAGGTCTGGCCCAAAGAGACTACATCTTTCACTGGAAGGAATGAGATGATATGCTCCACCTGGGGGACGGAAAGGAGGAAGTAGGGAGTCATCTGTGGCCCCACAGTGGTCTGGTGGTCTCGCTCAGTCCTTTATTCTCAATACCACCCCCTAAGGACTCACCAGCTCTGGGGGAAACAACTGAACAGAAAAAGGGTTTCCTCTTCCCTTCTTCTCTTCACCCCCAGGCTCTGGGCCACAAGATGGGCAGCTCCGCTTCACCTACCCAAGGAGAATGGGAAACAGTGGCTTTGTGAGGGTCACCTCTTTTTTCCCTGTCTCTCAGCCTTTCATTACTCTTATCTTGGGGCATATCTAACTCTGGCTCTAGGCTAGCATATTCTCCCATCTTTCTCTAGGTACATGAGCCATCACCTTTCCCACCCCA